AATGCCACGGTTACTGAGCCTTGCCCACAGCAGTGCTGCTCCAATTAAGTAATGTAGTGTGCAAACAGTGGGAAGAAGCATTTGGGAAGGAATTTAGGATTTGTGAATAATTTCAAATCTCACCAATTAAATATGCAGTGTATTGCATAGTCTGTCGCTCCAAAGAGCAACTAAGCACCTTAAAATTACATTAATATAAAACAAAACTGTTAAGTGCCTTCATAATGCTAGGGGCCATGAATACAGCCACTATTTTATGTGTTATGCCTTAAAGTAATGACAATTTCTTATCCCACTAATGGCAAAAGGATTTGCACATGTCATCATTGGAACCCACTATCAACAATCTTTACAGGAAATTACTGTAAAGGAAGCAAGCCTGGATTGGGAGCAGACCTTGGCAATGCTATGCTGATAGGAGTCTGCAAACTCAGCAGTAACGAGGGTTCTTTCAAGTTCCTCTCTAATAATCTAATCAGTGTCATTAAGGAAACCTTTTCAGAACAGCTGAGTGACTGCTGACTGGTGACTCTAAGCTTTATGGTTCAAACATTTGCTTTGTTTAGTTTCCCTGACATGCTCTGTGTTTCACCTGCAACAAATTTGGCTCCACTGCTCAACATGGTGTTCAATTCAGAATCACTTTTTGTCCTGCCAGAAGTCCAGAAGACTGGAGTTCTAGCAGCACTTTCGAAACAGCATTCCTGAGGCTTAGCATTACACCTGGAACAGGAAACCTGAGCCTCTAAGACAAAAGAGACAATACACAAAAGTTTGTGTATTTATGCCTGAATCTGGTGCTCAGTCAGCCCCAAGACCATCTGATTGAGTTAAAAAAGCAAGACAGATGAACTCTTCCAAGTCTGGAGTGCTCCTGAGTGCTCATGGAGTGCATTTCTGGTGAAACTCAGCCTGAAAGCTCTCCATGGCATGCAGCAGAGTTCTTACCTAAGCCGCTGTGGGTGAGGACTCATCTTCAAGGGCAACAAAACAAATAGTTTCAGCTCACACACGCCTCATTCTTCAGGAAAGTGTGTAGCCATGCCTCTTCTGCCTCTACACACAAGAAATCAAAAAGCCCTTGTAAAGACTGTGGCAGTCAGATAGAACTAAAGCAGAAGCCCAGATAGATTATAACTTGTAGGAGACGCTTTCTGGGGACGGTCAGAGACACGGCAAAGACCTCTATAATCGAGTTAAGTGTTAGAAGTTTATTTCAAGGCGTGGGGTAGAGAGATATAGAGAGAGAAAGAGACGGAAAAAGAGCAAGCAAGACAGA